TCACCACATGTCCGCCGACACCGAGATTTGCGCCCAAATGTGGACAATAGGCGGACAAACAGTGGACGACACCCGACGGGCCCCGGAATAGCACCAACTGTTGGCCGCATAGCTCTATGGCTTTCACCGTATTTACGAGCAAATCATTTGAGGCCATCACTCCATACCATGTGTTTGGGTATTGCAGGCATTCAATGTTGGCGTTTTGATCATGGTCAAATACGGGCTATTAAACATTTTATTGGTAAGTAAATGACATTGTTAACAAGAAATACCTTATTGATAATGTGAGCTTTATTTTTGAATAATAGATTGTACGCTATATAAATAGCCACGATTAATATAATTACATGAACAATCATTGTTTGTTTGTGGCAAATGTATTAAGTCTTTAACATCAAATATGGATTTTTTTAATTAAATAATTTTAATTAAATTATATTTAATTATTATTGCATAGTTGTTAATTGATAAGTGATATATTCATTTATTATACAAACTACAGTATTTTAATAGGATTTTGTATTTAAATTTCTAAAAATAGCAGAAAATATAACATATCGTATATGTAAAGTTTGATAATTATCAAACCTAGATCATTTTTCCACATTTATTAATCTAAAATCTTTATATTAGATGCAAGTACTGTATGTGACTAGTTAATATGAATAGTACCGATTAATAAGTTTGCTATGCATGTACTGTACAGTAAATATTTTGTAACCACTGTATTTGTTATTGTATTTTATGTATTGTAAAAATTAATTTTGTTTTGTTTAAAAGCGATAACTACAGTACTATATTTTTTGTCAATTTTTATAGTTTTATATAATGGTTATAATGAAGTGTTGTTTGTTGTGAACAAAAGTGAAGATTAAATGTTGTAATAATGAAAGTATTAGTAGATTTGAATGGATGTGAAAACTATAGCATTCGTATCGATCGTACGGATAGTGCGGTTGTGTTGCCCTTCAATCAGGTCTACAATGAGATCCGCAAACAAATCAAACACAACATCACTAAACATAGCCATATGTTTGAGGTATGCAT